GAGGCGAGCAGGTCACCGCGCTTCCCGCGCCATGGCGCCGCTTCCCGCCCCTCCCCGGGCCGAGGGGGCTGCGGGTGCTTCCAGAGTTTGGGTGGAAGAGGCGGCGCCGCCAGGTTCAGGCTGGTGTTCCTCCGAAACGTCATGAGCTGGCTGTAACGATAACAACAGTGGCACTGCTGGAGAATATTTTGCTCTCCGCCTCCCCCTTACCCGTGCGCGGTGACCTTGTGCGGGCCGATAAAGTTTGCCCCTTGCTGAGGGGGATGGTGGTTAAACTCATGCCAAGGGTTTGTTAAAAGGTTTCATTTTATTTTTCCTTTCGCAAGACCACGAGTAATTTTACCTAATGAAGTAGCCAGTAATGCAGTGCTTAGAGCCTCTCAGGTTTGGGCTCAGCGCATGGACAGGGGACAAAAAAATTCCGTGTGGGGAGCAAGTGCTCCCCAAATCCACACAGGTCTCAGTTTGATTTTTTTTTTTTTTTTTTTTTTTCCAAAGTTGGTAGTTGAGGATTTTACCGGCGTGGGGATCAGCTGCAGGTCCCCACTGTGTAAAGCAGCGTTGGCCAATATTGGTATGGGTGGCAGGAGCACTACACCCTTGGCAGGGGTGTAACCCATAAGCACACGTAGGTGAAAGACTGGCACCTTCAAGAGAATGTTTTTACTTTGCGGTGGGAGTTACCCCGTGTCTGGTGCGATCTGGCGTCAGCTGATGGTTCTGTCTTATAAGGAAATCTGAAGTGGTGAGGCTCTGGCAAACTTGTAAAACTAAAGCCACCTTAAAATCGATTGGCAATAAAAGGAAAACCATTTTCTGACAAATAAGGGGGGCAGTTTATTTGCAGAGCATTTTGCGAACAGGGAAAGGTAACAACACAGTTGCAAGTCAAATTACTGCCCTTCCTGCGTAGCTCTGAGTCATGTAACTGGAATGTGTTATTATTTTACTTTCCTGTGCATCAGCTGACTTGAATTAGCTTTTGGAGCCAATATGCCAAAGCATCCTCTCTTGCCAGAGGGTTCTGAAGTGTTCAGTTGGAAGTTCTGTATCGTGCATTAGAGCCTGACTCTCTTCATCGTCTTCCAGTGCATCCGCTTTGGCAGAGTCCACTTACAATTCCTGGGGGCACCCGGCAGTCTCCTATCAACATCCAGTGGAGAGACAGTGTTTATGACCCTTTTCTGAAGCCTCTGAAAATCAGCTACGACCCAACAACCTGTCTTCACATCTGGAACAATGGATATTCATTCCTGGTTGAATTTGATGATTCTGCTGATAGATCAAGTAAGCAAAACTCAGAAAAATCTGTGTAATGTATTATTAATGCTTAGAGAGGAGAAATATTTGCATGCTGTAAAACCTCAGGTTCAATAGCAACACAAATGTAGCAGATGAATGCACAGTAGAAGAACGCTTTAGCTAAATGCAGAGTTCTACATAGGCCTCACTTTTACCATGTATTTATTACCATGGGCATGTGCACAAATCCTCTGTTGTAGGTGGAAATTCATTTTTACTGCACAAACCTTAGCATCCTGCCTCCTAATATCTCGTAATATCACAATCTCATAAGGTCTCATAACATCACAGCTTTGCCTACATGAGCTAATTTTCAGCCATATGTATTTAACTTTAAATGAGGTTCCATCATTACACTTTATTAAAGTAATCTGCCAGTTACCTCTTTTGTGGCGTTAACAGATGTATTTAATGCATTTGAAATAATCAGCACCAAAATGACTTTCAGTTGGAAAGCATATATACTTATCTCAATAAATATTTGGAGCATTGAACAATACTGAGCTGCTACTGTAGGCAGCAGGTGAATGTGTCCCTGTTGTTTTAGTATAATCAGGAGTTTGTGCATGAGAAATCCAGTTATGTATTCCAGCAATTTGTTGTGAATAAGCACGCTGACCTGAGCAGCTGTGTTTTTTTAAGTGCCCCACAAGAGTCAAGTGATTTAAATTCAAGATATTGCTACCAAATTCCAGATTTTCTCTGTTGTTCCTTTTAAAAGTTGACTTTACCAAAGGATGTTGCTGGTATGTATAAAGAAGAAATTTCGTAAAGGTAGGTGAGCTGGTAGCAGTTGGTCAGGGATATTGTGAAGCACATGATTCATGTTGATTACTCAGCTTCTCCCGGAGGGAAAAATTGAGTGACCCTGGACAAGTTTGAGCCTGTTTGATTAGAGTCCCATACATTTAAAGTGACTGCTTACCTTGAGAGATGTGAGAACTTGGTAAGGATTTTAGTCATGTTCTCGGGAAGGAAGCTTTCAGCATGTTAAAAAAAAAAAAAAGCTTTGTCTCCACAATACCAGTATTTTGGTTCGTGTTTGGAAAGAGGCTGATTAAAACAGTGCAGCAGAAATGGTAGTGGGAGAATGCATGGAGCTCTCAGGGGCTTGTGTGACGTTCTCTTTTTGTTGTTGTTCTTCTTCTTCCTTTTTTTTTTATTGTTTATAACTGTTTACCCAGCATATTAGTTTCCAATTGGAGAATATTCTTGCCCTTGTTCATTTGAGCACTGTGATGTGTCAGAAGAAACCTAGTAGTGCCCTTCTGTTTTTACAGTACAAACTGCTATTGCATTAGTGAGGTGGGGTTAGAGGAGATACTAAGATGAAGACATCACTGGTTAGCTCATCAGTGATTTTAGCTTACTAACTTCAGATTGCTCTTGCTTTTTGATTTAACAGTCTTTTACTTTATACAGCCATACCCTGCTATTTCTCGTGTTTCTGGAAAGTGTAATGATTTGAAGTTCAATGGATAACAAAGTCAGTTTTTTTTCCTGCAAGAATTGATGTAATGGAGGGGAATTGCCTGCAGGAGGTTAAGAAATACACGACATTTACATACACAGGGACAGTTTTTGGGACACAGAGGCAAGCATGAAATCATCAGGACTGTCAGAGAGGTGCTGGCCTGTCAGCAGCTGACTATTCAGCTCTGAAAGGTCTTATCTGCCTCACAGGTAAGACTGAATACTTGACATAAATCGTAAATGAGAGCATTCTTGCTGCCTCTTTCTGGATGGCAGCCTTCTCATCATCAGCATCTTCCTCAAATGAATTAAAAATCAGTGAAGGGTGATGATGACTGGTGGAGGATGGCATTAAACAGTGACAAGTCTCCAAAATGATAAGACTGAGAACCAACAGACCACAGGATGCTGCTGTATAAATGGCCAGGTTTTCAAGTGCCTGCCTCTCTCCCCCACCTTCTCTCTTCACTGTTGCTGTTTCTGGTTTTTCTTTCTGCCAGCTTCTGTCTAACAATAAGCTTATGAATAAACAAACAAAAAAAGCAACAAAGTTTAAAAGCAGGCTTTAAAAACAAAGATGAAAACCAAAATGAAACGTGTATCAAGGATAGACAAAAAATGCCCAACCCCTGAGATGAGGCAGAACAAGACTTGGGCAAAAGATGACGGTAGTGCTGCCATGGGGTGTTTGTTTATGAGCAGAACAGGAGGAGGAAGAGGAAAGAGGGTGTGGGGAAGTACATACAGAGCGTGGTCCTTTCTGTGTGCATCAATGCCATCTGCTGCAAGGAAATGAGACTGAAACAGAGCTAGGGCTACAGGAAAAAGCTGAGGATGATTCTTTTCCCTGATTGTTATTGAAGTTCCTTTAAACTTCTGTTTTGTTTTGCAATTATCAAGACTGGTAACTGAGAGGAAATGAAATGGCAAAAATGCTTTTAAAGGGGCTGGAAGTTCCTGTTTGCTTCCTGTCACTTTTTAGTGTCTGCTATAGGACCTTGATTGTCTACCTATGTGCGTCTGTACCTAACTTTACCCATCAGGCAAACATTCAAGTGAATATTAACATGAATACAGTCCCTTGCAGGTTTGCCTCATCACATACTCAGGAATGGATAATGTTACAGCGCAGAAACTTTAATTCTGAAAGATCTGGCTGGCAGTGTGGGCCACGTCTTCATCCCATCTCTGAAAGTTACCTTTCTCCATCGTGATTTTTTTTTTTTTAGTGGTCAGTATTGCATTTATGCTAAGAGCTCAGCAGCAATGGATGAAATTAATTAAATATTAATTTGCATCAATTTGCATAGCTCGTTTTAGCTTACTCTTATCACAGGCAGGCCTATCTAGTTAGAATTTCAAAACCACTGGCTGGCTTTCAGGAAAAAAAAAAATAAGGATAAGAAAAGCTCTTAATGCTTCTCATTGTTTTCTCCTTAGCATTAAAGCGATTAACTTATTTTCAGAAGTAGTGTTGGGATTATGTACTTTATACAGTGGGCTGTTCTAAAATTTAACCATGAGGTACAGTTAAGTAAAAATCAGCAAATGTTTGCAGTTAGCCCTCTGGAAGGAATTATGGTCTCTCATTTACCAGATACTATGATAACTAGCAAGAAGACTCTTCAGGGTGTCTAAGAAGACTTTTCAGGATATCTCTGGGTCAGTTAGGAGGAAATGAGTAAAACCTAACAGTTCACAGAAAACTAGGCATAGACTTTTTCATGCGTGTGTTTGCAAAATGATGAGAGGCCTTCTGAAATCAGGAGAGCAGACTGAATGCTTACCTTTACTCATGGCTAAAAAGGGCACTAAAGTTTTCCAGCAACTCAGAATCTTACCCATAGGCGGGCTGTATGTTTAGGTACTTTGTGGAGTGTAGTTTGAACACAGTAGGCACAATATTAGAATATTTCTGGCTGTGCAGGAAATCTTATAACATTGGTTAGGCGGTCTGAAAGCTGCATTGAAGCAGAATAATATCTTTGGAGTTTTGTAACTTTAAAAAAAAGCAGAATTGAACATTTGACACAAGGTACTGATTTTTCTGGCAAAATTGGATTTTTGAAGTCTTCTGTTGTCACGGGAGATTTCAGTATTTCTCATAGCTATTGAGGCTTCGCTGGGATGTCATTTAATAGATGCATTCATTGCTTTGTCATCATACATGTTTCTTCTGGTAAGGCAGTTCTCACATGCCTGCTCAGAGAGGAGAGTGTGGAAGGGATCATGTAATCGCCATGACTCTGCCAATCTTGATGTGAACTGGCAAAAAAATTCCCTTGAAGGCAGATGGAATTGAAGATAGCTTATCTTCAATTTGATAGAGCTGATTCGGACTGCAGGGAAAGAACAGTCATGTGTTTGCTTGAACAATTTTGTCATAACAAAGTGAAGTGTAAAAGTAGCCAAGCAATAAGGGACTGTTTCCGTTAAGGTACTTGTTCCTCTGATTTTCTTTTCTGGGCAAATTTATTTCAAAGAGGATCTTGCTGTATTACTTGTCTGGATGATTCTAAGTTATGTTTATCAATATGTGTGTCTTGTTTTGTTTTTTAGTAATCGTTGGAGGTCCCTTGGAAAACCAGTACAGGCTCAAGCAGTTCCACTTCCACTGGGGAGCTATAAACGAGTGGGGTTCGGAGCACACGGTTGACAGTAAATTTTACCCTGCAGAGGTATGAGATAAATGCTGAGCAATGCAGATACTTGTGGGGACGGGAGGCTGTCTGTGATTATACTGCCTGTCAGAAAACTCCCAATTTGAAAAATTGCAGCTTACTGTTAAGGATCAGACCTGGTAGGTGCCACAGCACATGTACTGTTTTATTAGTAAGTTGACGCTCCCTGTGTTTTCTGGAGAAGAACACAGTCTTAAAATTGAACGTTGGCCCCATTACTGAAAGTTTCAGGAATGTTTTCTTCTCCCTGAAGGTCCCCAGGGATAGCTGCCAGACAAACCAATGGCAGGCGGCAAAGTGCCGTTGTTATTCCAGCTCTGTCTGCGTGGAGTGGCACAACTCTGCTTGTCCTTCCTTCTGAGGGGGAAAGGCTGAGACAAAAAGCAGACTGAGGGCAGTCAGGTCTTGAGGAACTCCCAGCTAATGTGGCACAGACCAGTTGGGCAGCAAATACTGAAGTAAATTTGCAAGCTCAGATCTTAATTTTAAAAAATATAAGTGCTTTAGCTGTGAGCTGCAGTAAGCAAAGAGTTCACGTGAGGTGTAGGGTCTGTTTTCTTGCGAGTACAGCGCATGTGCTGCATCTCAGCTCCTGTCTTCACCGGACCTCCAAATCTCCCAATCCTTACTGCTTTGAAATCACTTTGTTTATTACTACTAAACTCTTGCAGAGAAACAAGGCACATGCTAAATGCTCTTTCAAAAAAAAAAAATTTAAGGAGAGAATGGAAGATTGTTTAATTCTGACACCCATACCTGTAACTCGGGAAGCCTGGCCCTGCTTACTTTATATACAGTAACTGTCTCGTGTGTGTGACCCCAGAGCCTTGGCTAATGTTAAAAAGTTTATTACAGTTATCAACAATTTTTGGTTGTTTTTCTGAAGTCATTAGAATTGTGTACAGCAAAGTTCTATGGTAATATAGTGTGGTTATCATGATCACTTTATTTTCTGTTTTCAACTCTTAAGCAATTATTAAAATAACAAAACTTGTGATTAAGTAACTGCTAAGGTAGGGTGAGAGTCATTAAACAGGATGGAGCCAACAGGGAAAAATAAAGATTAAGTTGCTCAGAGAGGAAGGTATGGCAGGTATAAACACAGTTATATGCCAATGATGAATAATTTGAAAAAATATTACTGCTTATTTTGAGAAGATGTTTATCTCCTGTTAAGGTGTTCGTAATGATGCCTATCAGCTTGGCAAGATACTTATTAACAGCAAGACTGTATGACTTAAGTTTTGGGACTGGTGCTGGCTGTCTATTTAATGCACAAAACCCCTCAGTGGAATGCTTGTATTGGCCTGTAAGCAATGCAGAGAAAGCTTATGTCGTGTGCAGGAGAATATTTCTTAGCAGAACAGCATGCTGTGTTCTGCCTATTAAGAGATGGAAAAGTCCTTCAGTTCCAGGTATACTACAGGGTTTTTGTGCCTTTAACTAGCATTCCTGTAATCAGTCTCGCACAGACAAAGTCTCTTTCATATGTTTGAAATGCAGTTTATGGGTCTCTGACTACTGTTTAAAAAAGGGAGAAGGAAGGAAAAAAAAAAAAAAAAAAAGGAAGTACCATTATTTTCCATTAACTTTAGGTCCTCATTTTTGTGGTGTGTGATTTCGGGGGTAACTTGCTGCAGTGTCTCAAATTGCCAAGGACCAAATGTAGCAAAGATCAAGTGTCTTGCTGTCATTGCTGTGCTCTGTGCGTGTGTTGATTTCTCATTCATTCCTATTTCAGTTGCATTTAGTACACTGGAATGCTGTTGTGTACCCAACTTTTGAAGAAGCTGTGATGGAAGGTAACGGCTTAGCTGTTATTGGAGTGTTTTTAAAGGTAACTTCACTTTGTGTAATGACGCCTTTTTATTTTCATTTTGTTAAAACCAAATTAAGACAAAATACCTCTAGATTGGTGTTGTTTTCAAAAAATACTAATTAGGGTAGAAACGCAGAATGTCAGTTTAATGATTGGCTAACCCCTACCCATCTTCCGCAGCTAGGAGCACATCACGAAGGGCTGCAGATGCTGGTTGATGCTTTGCCAGCAATTAAACACAAGGTGAGTATTTTTAAGTGTCCCACCACTTATCACTCAGAATAGCTGATGCAGTCATTCAGCATAAAGAAAACTTTTGAGAATAGCAAAACACTAATAAATACTTCCTTAAATGTCAGCAGGGAGCCTGATTGACACCTTGGGTGAATTGTTGATTATGCCCGAGGCAGGGAAGCTAATTTTTAAGGAGGACTTGTATACTTTAAGCTTTCCAAACCTCTTGCTTTAAGAAAAAATGCTTTTGAGATGGTATCCCCTTAGAAGGACACACACATGTTTAAGCCTGCCTTTCCACTTCTATGAAAACAGCTGCCACAGGATTAGTTTCCGTGTGTTGTTTAACTGGAAAGAACTTTCTCTGCTGTGTAAAGTGGCAGTTTATTTCTTGCGGAATTAAGGATTTCTGATTTTTGTCTGATCTTTGAGGAGGAGATTATTGTTTGCTTTTCCTTTTAAACACTCAAATTTTCTGCTAGGGGAATGGGACTTTCTTCATAGCTGATTTCTCACTTCTGCCAGGAGAGGGAGTGCTGCGTCTCTGATAGTGTTCAGAAGCAGCTCGTGCTCCTCCAGGTGCCCGTTCCTTTTTGAAAGTACACACAAAAAATACACATTAAGAATTTTACTGGCATGTAAGCACACCCAGCTGAATCACTGTGCCATTATTTATCGCAGTAAGGATTATTTTTATCCAAATAAAACAAATATTTATGGCAGTGCAGTGAAAATTCTGCCAGATAAATGCCAAACAAGTCAGTTCAGTGCCAAAAGACCTACAAAATCTGTGAATATACATCCATTATGAGAATATAATATTTTACAGCAGATGAATTTGAAAGAAACTAAGTCAAGATCTTTAAAAAAAAAAAAAGTATCAAACATTAGGCTCATCAAGCCACATGTGGGCTGCTCTGAAGGTATCTCTTTCCAAAGGGTGTCAGCCACCGAACAACTCATCTGCACTTGGTTTAAAACGTTTGAAAGCCTTTGTTGCCTTGCCAGTGTTAACACTGACTTAAGCACCAAACCCCAAGGAACATCACCCTGGTGAGGAGGGAGAGGAAGGTCAGATAATGTCCGTTCTGGTGTCCAAGCACCTTTCTCTCTCACTTGAAGGGTGAAAGCTCTCTCTCATCTAGAATTTCTAGCCCCTATTTTTGAAAGATTCTTTATTGTAATATTTCTCATTCCCAGTGGAGAACTGATCCAGCCTCTTCCTTTCCTGCCTTGCCAGTATATCCTGGAAATACCCCAGGAGTAAAATGTTTGTGTAGAAAATCATGGGCTCTGAAGCTCCTACATGCTGTCTGGTATCTCACTTGTGGGAGTGCACATTCTGGAGACATGAATATTTGATATGATTTAAATAAAACTTCAGTCGTCTTCCCTCTCCCCACTGCCTAAAATCACATGGTGAAAAGTAAAAGCACTATCGGTTGCTGTCGATTAAGTGTATCTGTCAGAACACCTGAATTTATTCCACCACTACTTCTTTCTTTTTCCTGTTTGCTTCTAGCTCCCACAAAGACGTAGTCAGTTGCTCCTTCACACTCCTTATTTTTTATGCACTGAATTCATAATGGCTTGTGGAGACAACAGAAATATTTAAACTTTGTCTGCACACTAGCTGCTTCTTACGCCTCAAACCCAGTTTACTGTCTTTTCTACGAGTTTATGGGGTTTTAAATTATTACGTTACGTAGATCATTATTAATATTCGCAATACCTAATTTTGCATATGCATACATAACATGTACAGTATTTAAGATTGTTAAAATCTTTTAAAGTCTTCTGTAATTTTTTTTTCCCAAGATACAATTTTTAAAATAATGGCTTTCTGACGTTTAGGACGCTGTTATCGAGTTTGATGTCTTTGATCCCTCCTGTTTGATACCTTCATGCCCTGATTATTGGACCTATGCGGGCTCTTTGACTACGCCCCCACTTACTGAATCGGTCACATGGATTATTAAGAAGCAGCCAATAGAGGTTGATGAGAATCAGGTAAATCTCCTGCTCACGTTTCAAATCATACCGTACATGTTTGACTGCCTGCTGCCATGAAGGGGAAGGTGCACAGCGGTAGTTGCTTACCAGTAATTCTCTGTGAATACGCTGAGATGGGTGGCTGCTTCACACCCAGGATTTCTTTGGGGAGGTATCCTGACAGTAACAACAGCTAATACTGAAAGATTTAAGACCTCTTCAGTGGGCAGTTAAAGATGCTTCTCCAGCTTTCTCATAGAGCTTTATCTTAATCTTTGATAAACAATGCCTTTATGCTGGAAGCCCCTTGAAAACTTCAAAAGCTACTTATTGCAACACTGCATAATTTTGTTCTCCTTACCAGGATGCAGCCCTTCTTGTGGCAGGGCAGGAGGAGAACGGGCACGTTTTGTTAAATTCCCCACCCTGACCTTTTGTGCATGTTCTTGATAGCTGTGTGCATTTGGACAGAAGCCTTGCAGAGGCTGCGAGGGCCAATCCTCTGTTCTTCCCCTGGGCAGACTCGGGAGGTGCAGAAGGGGTGGTGGGTGGCTCCGAGTCCTTCACATGCCATTCTGATGGCCAGAGATAGAGCAAGTCCCTGTTGGGTTTTCTGCTTTGCTTTTGTAGGCATGTTTACTCTATATTTGGCTGTACCGTCCTTGAATTCCTTTTCTTTTTTTTTTTTTTTTCCTTCATTCCCCCTTAAAAAGGACAGACGAACAAAGGTTACAGCAACTGTTTGTGTTACAGAAGTTATTTCAAGTGGAGGAGTTCTTGGTCAATAGTCTGTTCTGAGAACAACCCTCACTTGTCGCCATATGCGCTCTACTGCTTTTAATTTTAGTACTTCACCTGTCAGTGTGATGTTATTCCTTGGTTTGAAGTAAATGTAGAGACGAATAGAAAACAGGCAGAAGGAGGACTTACTGAAATTGTACTACAACCGTGGTTTTTGTTGGAAGTTTTCAGGGTTTTTTTTGTCTATTGAAAGAAGCGGAGTGCTTTGAGGAGCAGAGGACAAGTCTTGGAGATTGTTGCCAAGCAAGTAAAAATGAAGAATCCCCCCAAAATCTACGTTTTTTCATGGTTTAAGAGGCACTGAAAGTTATCTGTGCACTGTCCCTGGTTTCTGTGGCTTCGATTAATGATGAAGCGTGAGTCCAACAGCATGAGGCAAAATAGTGATTTTTATTATTTTTTAATACAACTTTTGCATGGAGCTAGTCCCTCTAGAAAGTCACGCTCCAAATGAACACTAACTCCGAAGAACAGGCATGTCCATGATCTTAATGTTTTGGTTTACATAAAGGAACAGGAGGGGAAGAACTGAAGATTGTTAGCAGAGCAGAGAGAACGGAATGCATCGTCTATCATTCTTCTTTTCAGTTGAAACTTTTTATCTTTTTTCTTTCCTTCTCTTGGCTCTTTATTCTAATTCATTGATGGCATAGAAAGGCTCATAGTTTACTTAACATTGTAATGCCCTTGTGAGCATTAAAAGATGATCTGCTGCATGCTTTATTTTAATCCTCAGTTATAAACCACCAAGAACAACAACTATGTAGATTGTTGCTTGTTGAGGTTCCCTCTTTTCTGGGTGCCAGCATATGCACGTCTGTATGAGATAGCAGAACTCCAGGAAGGGTGTAAATTAAGAAGGTTGGAGAGGTTTATTTAAAGATGGCATATGTTCCAGTATTTGAACAGGAATCGGTTCTGTCTCAGACATGCCACATTTGAGAGATAATTTGCCTAAAGATGGCAGATGACTGACAATTCATCTTCTGCATCAATATGGATGATGGTGTAATCTTCACCAGCAGGTGACAAAGAAGTGCCAGAAGTTCGTGCTAACATTTCTCAGCATGCAAACGCAAGAGTACCTTTGATTTATTTTTTTTTTTCCCAAGCATGAATGATTGTGTTTTATCATAAACTCCAATAATTCTCCAGTTAGTAAAGTCACAAAACTGGACGTTTCTCGTTCTCAGCTGGAGGCATTTCGGATGCTGCTCTTTACTTCAGATGGTGAAGAAGAGAAGAGAATGGTAGACAACTTTCGCCCTCTTCAGCCATTAATGAACCGCACCGTCCGTTCATCCTTCCAGAGCAGGCATCTCTTGAATGCTGAACTACAGCCCAAGGACCATGCTGAGCAGATCAGGCCGTAGATGGCCCATGAAATGTCAGTCCAGACTGCAATACCTGGATATAACTGTCGTCATTTTTTTATTTTTCCTTTTTCTGCAGTGTGTGTATGCCGTATAGTTTCACAGCCAGACGATTTCAGTGCTGTTAAGTGCCATTTGGCCCTCAGTAGAGAAGCTGTGGGGTTTTCTTAGTTTTGCATTTTTTAAGAATTAAATAATATTAACCCTTAACAAACTGACATGCTTTAGAGTAGGGATCAACAAGGAATTATTTTGGCAGTTAAAAGTAAAAATAAGGGCAGGAGATATCTTCCCCTGCCTCTTTGCTGAGTTGTTCTGTGTCTCTTCAAGTGCTCTTTCCGTGCTTTGCATGATTAATAATCCCATCTGAAAACATGTTAGCAAGCAGGAAGTGTGAAGAAGTGGAAAGTATTAATACTGATCAGGTCCTTTTGTGGAATTGTTTTGGAGATTTGGGAAGAGAACTAGCTTCTCTAGTTACATATACAGAGACATTTTATCTTCTTCCTTAGGATAACAAGAGGAAAAGAGAAAAAAATTATTTATAGAATCTAACCCATTTTATTGACTGTTTGATCTGGATGCCACAGAATGTCCACTCTATCTACACTGCAAGCCAGAAGACTTTTTCTAAAACCTTATAACAAATGTAGAAGCTTTTAGCTTTGGCAGGTTTTACTTTTGTGTATTAATAATGTACCAGGAGAAGAGAACAGAAGAGAATTCACCAGTATCTCAAAATTGGCAAGAGCAGCAAATTAGGCAAAAATGTCCAATTGATCCCAGGAAAACTGATTACATCAAAGGAAAGCAAAATTAGATAAGCCCCAGTTGACCCTCCCAATGGGACTGGGGTGTGTGTGTGTAATATTTGAAACATAATCCAGTGCTGGAAGAGTATTGACAGAATGCAGCACTCGGACACTTTAAAGAATTTTTTTCAGTAACTCATAGAGCACCAGTGCACTCTCTTCAAAGTTTTGTCTTAAGAAGTACTTTTCTTATAAAAAGAGTTGTCTAGCTTCAGGACAACTGGGGACCAGACTGTATTTATAGCACCTTACGATAAGTAAGTTAAGTGGTGATTGAAATTTATTTGTGGCCCAGACACTGCCAGCTGTGGAGCCCTATCCTAGAGTTACGGTCCAATTGCCACAAGTATTATCTACCTCTGAAGCATACTACTACTAGCCATAATTTTCTCTCAAGCACCTTTTTTACTGGCTTTTTATTCTTTACTGTATTTAACAGTGTGCCTGTGCATGAAATTAATGTACCAAATGTACGGTCAGATTTTCTGATGAGGAGCAGGTCTGTCTGTGAATTCGTGATGTGGAGAACAGACACTACTTGGTTGCTGGTCACTGGTTGCTGACAGAACACAAGCTTCTCAATTCTAAGTTCAGAACTTTTAGAATAGGTACATTTTAAGTCCAAATGTTCAGTTTAAAAGCACTTTAACACTTTTTAGTGTGACCCTGATGATTCTAAGGCATTTGAATATCCTTGTTTAACCAGTTAAGTGCCCAGGTCTTGCCTTTGCTTCCCTAATAGCTCTACCTCAGGCTGTTGGTATCTTGCAACAGCTGTGCCTTACTCACTTGGCAATTTGAAATGTGGCTATTTAACCTCAGAGTAACTCTACATGGTAAATGTAAGAAACTGTCTTATATCCCAGTGTAATATATTTATTTTTACTGTGTGGTATATTCAACGTGCAGTATGTGTCTTCGGTTTCATTACCTCTCCCAAGCCCTACTGCTCAGTTGAAAGTTACCATCTTGGTTGAACTCTGTAGAACTACACCATCTATAGCAACTTGGTTGAACTATACCATCTCAGTTGAACTATACAGCCCTTGGTGTCATCAGACAGACTTTTATTTACTATGTTCCTGGCCTACAGAGTCACATCAGTGATGGTTTTGCCAGAGAATGATAGATTCCAAAAAAATTTTGGAAGGGATATCTACAGTTCTAGCAATAGGAAAAGAATTATTTTACTTTCTGCCTGAATGTACGTGACGTGGTCATTGTTGAGTTTGAGGTTTTCGTTCAGTGCTGTTCGTGCAAACATTTTTCTGAGGAGGATCCCAAGAAAGTGATTCAGAACTGGCACATATCTTGTCTATTTTTGAGATTCTTTTGGTAGCATTCTGCTGTCATTATTAGCAGTTAGGAAAAACTAATCTAAAATAAATAAAGGTCAGATAAAGCCATCTTAATGTTGCCTTTGCATTTAAAAGTACAGGTGACTCAGCAGCATTAAGCTAGCTGTAAGCAGCCTGCATCAAGACTCTTGTCATATATGAACTGGTCTTTTATAAACCTTCATGCAATGCTCAAAGTTTCTTCGTTACCTTGGTAGTTTTCACCACGTTTTTCTGTACTTGTTTCACTAGTTCATATGGCTTTCCTAGCATATGCAAATACAAAATACATATTTTCTTCTTAGGGAACTACTGTGGTGTAAATGTTTAATCTTCAGGTGCTTCATAATGCTGTTAGTATGTTTATACCCAACTGAGTCCCAATGGTTAGGTTTGCTTCACTGCACCAAATTTTCTTCCTAGGTGTGTAAATCTCCTTTTAACATGCTCACCACCATGCATTCATCAGAGATGTTGTTGAATATTGTCTTTTCAATGATCTGTTTAAAATTCTTATATTTACTTACTTTGTTCAAGTACTGTGCTGAAAGTTTTGTTAGAGAATAGGTGTACTACCCAGTTGTACAGTTAATAAGCTATACTCCATACGTATTTAGATAAAATCACATCTAAGTGTACTGACATAAAGTGAATCCATTTTAATTTCAGCACTGATTGTTTCAAGTATCTGGAGACAGGGTCCACGTAGAAAAACTTACTGTGCTACAAATACAAGCTTTACAGGGATTTCCTGTTACAATTATTTTGCTAGGTTTTTTGAGTCTTGCATTTACACGTTAGTCTTTTAGCATCTCTGGTTAAGGTAGGAAGTATCTCAGTTGCAGGGCAGGTTGTCCTTGAAATTGGAAGCCTGGAAATGAACAGAAAGGTATTTGTGTTTTGTTTTGTTTTTTAAACTTTTATGTTACAATGACTGTATTGGCCTTTCTTGAAGCTAACTTCAGGAAAAATAATTCTTTGTGCCTGCACATGTATGTAAAACAGGAGATGGGATGTAATTCTTTTGCCTTATTATCTCAGTTGCGTGGGGGGGGAAATGATTTGATTGTTGGAGCTAGTATTTGTAGCTGTTTTTCACAACTAAATTAAACTGAAAGGTGTCTGCATAGGAATCTTTAGGCTCTTATTTTAGATGGTACAATATGAAAGGGTCAAAGCACGCGTTTGTCCTTGTGTAGTAGCTTCTGTTAATTAATGCTGTACTAGGAGGCATTCCTGTGGCAATAAGTATGAGGAATTAAAGACTAATACAAATAATTTTGGGGTCAGCTTACTGAAAAGGGAGTAGAGGGGTTTTGAGCATAGAACTGCATCTGTGTTGGTCTGACTTCCAACTGCCTTTCTGTTAAATGTTGCTCTTATCAGAAGTCTTGTTTTTGGTGACTTTTTAGCTGGAACGACTCTTTTTGGTGTTTGAATGTTTGATCCATGTTCCTACATTCCAAGACTTTCACACTGGTGCACTTCAGGTGTACGGCACCACATATACCTGACCAGTCCTTTTGTCATCTTCTGTCACGAGTGGCTTGCATTGGTGTTTTGGAACCAGACAGGTGTAAGTCTGACATAAGTGTATCTTTTGGCTTCAAAAGCTGCAGAAATGGAAATTGCTTTGATCTCATGAAAATCTACTGACTTTTAGAGTACTAGAATTCTGCACTGCTTACTTTTGAGGAAGGCTCCCTTTTTCTGCTCAACCTCATAGTCAATAGTATTTGCTTTAAAATTTGAATGCCTTCATTTTGAATGTTTTTTAACTTGTATTTCTTGGCACATCTTTGCTTTTTTTTTTAAATTTGCGCGTCTTGTTTTTGTGGCAGTTGTGACATTGTGTATTTTGATGTAATCTACCTAATCGCAGTTTACTGAAATAATTGTCTTTGCAGACAACGAATGTAACAGGGAATGCCTTTTGTTCTCCTAGGATATGGGCCTTTTTCCTCAGTTTTTACCTGATGTAAGGAAACTTCTAGCTGTTGGATTTTAAACTGTTACATTAGTGTGTGACTATGCAATAAAGAAACAGAGAAACCTGTGCCTGTATCTCATTGTGTAATTAAGCTCTCCAAGTTAAAAAGTAGGTTTTTTGTCAAGAAAATAATACAATTCCTCCTTTGAGAATGAACCAGTGCATTATGAGTGGAGTCTAATCAGATGTCAGACATTCTGTGATACTTAAAAGCTATGAAAGACTCTGCTGAACTGTATTGTAATTGGAATGAAAGAACAATGACCCCTCTGTTGCTGCTGGACTGATGGATGGATATCTAATTATTTGTTACATTCAGCTAGACGTGACATGTCATCTAAAATGGGCTTCCAAATTTTGAGGATCTTTTCTAAACTACTTGATTTGACACTGATCATTAAACTCGACCTGTCAACTAAGCTCCTTTTTCTGTTGTGTAATTGGTCTTGATAAAACTGAGCGTTGGTCTGATGTGTGGTGTAACTCTTAAGAGTTTCACATTAGTGGTTGTGGCTACAAGAACCTTATCAAATAGCCTGAAAAAATCTTTGAGTAAAATAAAATACTTGTATCGATAAAGACTGGCTGTTGAGGTGAAATAGGTGTTGATTTCTCTGTCTCACTGCTTAGCCGTGCTTGGAGTCTAGATATCAGCTGTGTTATGCTTAGCTGATTTAATTCAAACTAGTTTCCACTTCTTTTGATGGGAAAAGTAAGATATTACATTCTTGGTTAAGGAATTCCCCCCCTAAAATAATTGTAGGCATCCTAAACTGTTCTATTTGGTACCTTTAGTGGTAGGCAAGCTGTTTCAATATGAAGAGTGTCACGGGTTAAGCGTGAAGCCAGCTCCACTGTTATTACTACTTAAGTGTTCTAGAAGCTACCACCACTTCCATAAAAAAACCCTTATAAGCTCTTGTGTTAGTATAGCTGAGGTGTTTGCTAAAGAAATGGCTTATTTGGTTCCAGCAGGCTGTCCTATTTTGATCAAGGCAGCTTTCCCGATAAATGGTTAAGAACATACACATTACTTCTAACAAATGGCCAATTTACTTCTGATACTGGTAATTATTTGTCTTTCTGACAAATAATTCTTTCCATCTTTCTTTTTGATGTGACAAACTTGAAGTGCCTGAGTATTAGCATATGGAGAACTGATTGTATAATCAAATAGTCTTCAAAGATTCTGCAGAATAACTTGGGGGCCTGAAGAGAGTTAATGTTCGTGGTCAGAACTGATAATAATACTTAGCATTTGTGAAGCGCTTTGAAGATATAAAGCACTATATGAACACACCCTAACACCGTGATTGCAGAGCAGGTATTTTCTCGGTAACAGAAATGGAGAAACAGTTGCAGAATTCACTCCGATTGATTAGTTTGCAAGACACTCAAGTATGTGGTTGACCTTCAATATGGCAGTTTCAGTGGCTGCTGCTGCCCTGCTGCTCCATCCCAGAGTTTCCAAATGGAAATGGTGTCAAAGCGGAGACTGAAGTCTGCAAATTCTTAGCTGCCAGTCTATTAAGAAATTCTCTTTTGGGACAATTGGATGGGGAAAGAAGATGATAACTGGGTCCTATTCTTGTGAAAGTTGATGGAAATTTCTGCAGTTAATTTAGTCTGAAGGTAAGAAGTTAGTCTAGAGCACTGGTCAAGTAAATCCACTGATGAATGATTTTGTTCACCCATCTGTGCAACTGAGTTTGAGCATTCATCTGAAAATATCTGAAGCATACATCTTATTTCAATTCCAGTCCTCTCTGCTGGATCCTGATGTAGCGAGGCCAAGGCAGAGACAGTCCCTTATGTTGCAGGCACCTGGGTTTTTTCTGATTTTATGGTCCTGTGAACATTTTGCCTAGGATAAAGGATGAAATACGGTAACAAATCACTGTTGGTAAATCTTACTTTGAGAAATAATAGGTTTAGATTGTAACCTCTGTGATGGGGATAATGTTAAGATAGGAGGCTGAAGGAAAGCTTTTGGGGTTTCACGAAAATTCTGTGATAAATATGTTCTTCTGTTTATTCTTAATTAATTTTCATAGTCTTTGCAATCTTTTCGGGATCCCATTTCTCTTTGAAAACTTAGAAAAACACGCTCGGGGCAAAGGTAATTTTTGTCTAAGCTTTCTTCCTAAATGTGGATGTTTATATAAATCGGGAAACAGCCCCAAGTTTCAAGCCTTTGGGCTATTGTGGCCAACGGCCACTAGGTGTCAGGTTCTGACTAATGCTTCCAGGGGCTGCTCGGGATTTCTGAAATGGTTGAACGTGGTCATGATGCCAGTGCCAGGTACCTGAAAACGTTACTAAACTATATCATTTTTCCTCAGAATGCAGATCTCACGTTTCTCTGAGGTATCTTGCAGGAAACCTCCTGAGCCACTCTATTACCTGTGCTGAAGCATGTGTGAAACTTGTGAGGAGGAGAAGGATAGTCCAGGGAGGATGGATACCGCCCTTGGGTTTCAGAGCTTGGGCACGACTTCTTGTGTGACACCAACTACTCACTTGCTCAGAAATAGCAACTCAAAGGTACCGCTTCCACCTCTTAGCGGGAATGATTGTTGCTGAGAATTGGGGCTTCCAGGCTTTAGCCTCTGAACTCATCTCCCATCCCACATGGACAAGACAGTCTGAATTTGCTAAAGAATTGGCTCCTTAGGCACTGGTGTGAAATATCCAAGTAACTCTCCTTGGATGCAAAACCTCTGTCTTCACTGAAGTAGTGTGATAGAAGTTGCTCGTTTTGCCTGCACGCTTGCCAGATTGGGGAATTTATTTTTTTTTTTTTTCTTTTTGCAAATAAGCCATTTTGGTGATTTTGGCCTCCAAAATGACAGGCAGATTTCTGCAGTGCCTCTGCAGAAATGCAGGCGATGCAGCACTGGGGCCTTGGCCTATGCTTGCATGAGTGTGTCAGACGGAGCAGCGCGGTAAGCGCACTGAAATCAGAACTGGGGAGACCCAGGTTTTGCTGAACTTTAGGTTTACACACACAGGCACACACCGACCCCTTCTTTTTAGGAACACACGGCTCAGTCTGGGCTGAATTACTGGCACCAAACCTCCCCTCCGGGCTGCTGCCAGCGTGGAGCCCCCCTGCACCCCAGGGCGGGGGGCAGAGGCGGTGGGGGACCCTTTGTCCCCCAAGGGCGCAGGGATGGAAGGTGGAGGGGGGGTGCGATCTGCCCGCACCTCAGAAGAAATCCGCCGGTGCAAATGCAAGCTGCGGACAGTGCTGCACCCCCCTTCCTCCTCCTCCTCCTCCTCCTCCCGGAAAGGAGGCCAGGCTCCCCGCCTAGGCGGGAGGCGCTCGCCGCTCGCCGCCCACCGCTGCCGGAACAAAAGGCGCGGCTGCATGGTGGCTGTGGAGCGC